GGCAGCAGATTCGTGGAGACTTGGCTGTAGCTAATCGTCAAGCAGCTTTAACTGTACTTGGGGACCTTAAGCAATGTTATGAGCATGTGCAACACCCGCAACTTGTACGTGCACGCACGGGCTGGCAATATCCCCTCTTCACAATACGCTTTGCTATTCACACATATAGGTGGGCACGTGTATTGAGAAGGAGGGGGTGGTTTCGGAGGAACTGGAGCCTGGGCAAGGGATCGATTCCTGGAGCTCAGAGTTGGACCCACGCTTGCTGTGCACATAGACGATTTCTCGTTGAACATGTACGATAGTTGTATCAACAATTGTGTAAGAAGTATGGCCCTGGCTATGGCTTTCCTGGTAGAGCAGCTGTCATCTCTCTTCAACTTGCGCTTTGTATTTAACAAGTTTGTGATCACTGTCACCAGCGCAGAACTCGTCGAGCTCGCGCAGAGCCAGTTGGGCCAGTACGCTGGTGAGTTTAATCATTCCACCATCAACCTGGGCGTGGGCTTTGCGCCAGGCAAGACCAAGTCCATCTCCCAGGCTGAGGCCAAACGAAAGGAGAGGTGGAGGAAAGGGAGACAGCGCCTGGCCAAGATTCGGAGTTCGAAACAACCCCAAATGATCCAGGGCCAAGATTTGGCTTTGTGGAGTTAAGCCGGCCACGACATACGGGGAGGAGGTGGTGGGGTGGACGCCCCGCGAGATTAGGAAGCTCAGGTCACACGCAGCAGGCTTCTTAGGCCTCACATCGTGCGGTGCAGACCGCAACCTCGCCTTTGCCTCGGAGCCCAGCAAGGACCCGATCAAGCACGCACGCGCTACTTTAACTCGTTTTGCGAAAGAGTTCTGGCTGTCCACTGATGATAAACTTCGGCCAGGGGGCTGTATTGCTGTTGGGGATCTGGTCAAGCTGGTCAACGAGGTTCACCGTTTCCGGGAGATTCGACCTAAAGCGTCTTGGAACTGTCTGGCCTGGGGACCTGTGGGGGACATGCTTCAGTGGGTTTCCAGATCTGGATGGTCGGTTCGTGGCCCTGGGAGTTTTACCATGCGTGACGGTTCTCCTTGAGTTCTTTCTGGTATACCTTACGCTTCAGTTTGCAAATATTTCGTCAGGGACCTAGGTAAGGAGTTCGTGAAGCAGAGCGTGCAGGCTAGGCTGAAAGAAAGTGAACACGAGCGAGCGTCCGAGATACTGGAGCGGGGCCTTTGGGTCGAACCCCCCAAGTCCTTTTGGAACTCCACGCGTCCCAGCAAGCTCAAAGACCGTGCGACGAAGCAAGTGTTCACACGGTCTTTCGTGACGGCTTGTCACCTGCACAAGTGGGGTTACCAGCTGGAGCCGCTCTGCCCTTTCTGCCGAGACGGAGTGCACGGCACCATCGACGGACTCTGGCACAGGTGTTTTGAATGCCCAGCGCTGGCAGACCGTCGTGCCAAGCATCTACCTGCTGAATGGGCTACAGCAAGACTGGAGGCAGGACCCGAGGATCCGTTTTTTCAGTTGCCTGTGGCCCCCAGTGCCGAACGAGCTGCACGAACCCGCCTGGGAAGGGAACATATTTTATGTCGGCCCTGACAGGCCCATCGAACCGTTCCGTTTCAACAAGAACGAGTTTCTTTACAATGATGGGTCTTGTTACAGAGGTACGTACGAATACGTTTCTAGAGCTGGATGGGGTTTCGTTTCTGTCAACCAGGAGGGAGGATTCATCAGAGGCATCTATGGGAAAATTCCTGGCTCCCTTCCCCAGAGCTCAGTTTTTGGAGAAGTTTATGCCTTACTTTCTGGACTCACACGCCTCGAGCTAGGAGAGGAGGACGACCCAGACGCGGTCGAGTATTGATTCACATTGATTGCGAGGCACTTCTAGGAGGTACCGAGATCCCTGGAAAGCAATTTCAGGTGCCAGTCCGCTCGTTCAGCAGTTCCCCAGTGGAGTCTGAAAAAAGTCCAAGCCCACATGAAGGGCGAGCTCACAGGTACTGCCTTGCGCCACCGACGGGGCAACGGCAAGGCAGATGAGCTTGCTAAAGATGGTGCAAAACGTCATCACCCTGATGCTCTCCAGGGTATCAACAAGTATGAGGTGTGTCTAGCTGGCTGGGAGGAAGTAGCTGTAGTTATTGTCAATTTTCCCTCAGAACTCCCGAAAACTGAAGAATTGTTCGGGGATCTAGCCCGCAATCCAACCGTCCCCCGTCCGAGGGCCGTTGTCAGTGGTCGCCCTCATCGTGTGCTCTGGACTAGGTCGGCGTGGAAGTACGTCAAATGTGCCCGTGTTTTCTGCCACAAGAACCCCAGGAGTGCGTGCGCGGCCCTGACCCCCAGCCTTAGGCAGGTGGTCGAATTAGAAGTCTCTCCCCCGCACTGCCTACATGTGTGTAGAATTGTAAAAACTAATGTACCTTTGGTTGTTGTTGTGCTCGTTGCGGGGCCTACACATCGGGCCTCCCCCGTAAATTCGGTGAGCCCTGCCTGAAGGTCTTCAAGCAACAGAGATCTCAGATCATGAATGGTAAGTGCCCATGGCCTAAGGGCCTGCACTTGTCGCGCCCGTGGCCCCTGGCTCGCCCAGAAGAGGACCCTGGAGGCGAGTGGTGGGGCCAGTTGCGTTATCTCTGACTGTTGTTATTTTCCACTTAAATTGTTGATTTGTCTTTGCGTTCTCTGCCTGTTGTTATTTTCCACTTGCTTTGTTGATTGGTCTTTGCATGCTCGCCCCACCCTGTGGGCGGGCGGCGGATTTTGGCCATTGCCTGCGGGCGGTGGCGGGGGGCAGCCAGGCACCTGGGCCTCTGCCCTGCGCCTGTACGGCGGTCCTGGCCGTCGGGCTCCGCCCTACAGGTGTGGGGTAAGAGGTGGTCGGTGGTGTCTGGGGGCCCCATCGCAGCCCCTTCGATCATGGATTGGGGGGAGCCACGAGAGAGCCACTGGAAATCCTCCCTTCTCCCCTGCCCTGCCCATGGCAGCGGGAGCCAAGAGAGAGCCAGGAGAGGGAGGAGGAGGAGGAGGAGGAGGAGGAGGAGGAGGAGGACCTCCCCATCCTCCATTCTCCCCTGTCCTGCCCATGGCAGCGGCGGTGGAAGATTGGCCCTATCACCAGGGAGACCCCCGGAGCCCCAGGCCTGGGGCGGGGCGGCCCCGTCCGACCCCCGCCTTCGTCCTCCGCTCCTCGCGGGCTGGCAGGTGGGGCCTTCCTGCCGGGGGGGCCTTCGGGGCCGCGAGGCGTGACGCCCTCACGCCCACGGCGGAGTGCAGGAGGAGCTCGACCACAAGAACCCTTCCACCAGGAAAACCAACCCTGAGACCCCATGACGTCCACAGACTCTCGGAGCGGGAGTGCCACGCTTTCCATGGCGAAGCCACCAAAACCCAAGAAGCCCAGGGCACCCTGGAGGCAAGCAGGATGTTTCTTGGCATGGGTTCCTACTGTAGCCGACCCGACTACGACTGCTGCGCCTGAGGTGCCTTGTCCGGCAACGGGACGCTGCAGCCCAAAGCCAACCACTTGGAGTTCGCACGTGCGAAAAGTAGCCACTGCCGCGATCGTCAAAACCACTCGAACCGTGTCCACATAATCTCACGAGGGAAACCGCCAACATTACTGTGGCAGCTATGGAGACCACAAAGTACCGATACCGCTGCTCCCTGGACCTCTCCCGGGGTGCGTTCTGACCGACATTTCGAAGGGAATCCGGCGGTGGAGACGAGGGCCTCCCAGGAGGCTCCGAAAAGGGGAAAAGGAGGGAAGGGTGGCGGCTTCGATAACTTTTCCTCCTCTGAATCGCTGCCTTTTTTATCCCGCTGGCTGAAACGAGCCATTGGTTTACGAAGTCTCGCGTCGGACGCGTTGCTGAGATGCTCTCAACAGCTTCGCGTGGCGCTTGGGACCACGGCGTGCGGGGGAGGAGGACGGGCACGGGGGCACTGGCGGGGGGCGAAGTCGGGCTGCCAGGGGCGTCCCTGTCCCAAGGTGCCCCGCGCTTGTCGCGCCACTCTTGGAGGCCCTGGAGCCCTCCCTAGGGTCGTGGGGGGCGGGGCCCGTGGGGGGGCCGTGGGGGGCGGGGCCCGTGGAGGCCACGTGGGTGGTCGTGGGGGGGACTGGCCCTTCCAGTGGCCCTCCGCCTCCGCGACCCCCTCCTTGGAGCCCCCTTGGGCCTCGTGGGGGGGGTGCTCTGGAGGCCACCTGGGTCCTCCCTGGGCAGCCTGGGGTTCACCTTGAGCCACGGGCCACATCGGGGAGCACCCGTGGCAGGGAGAGGAGCAGAGGCGCGCGAAGGTCTGGAGTATCCCTGGGAGCCGCCCTGGCCAGCGCCAGGGTCCTCCGTTGGACACTCAGCCATGATATAAAAGCACACAGAAACACAGCCAGCACTGCAAGCTTATCGCCTGGAGGCCTCCCAGACGAGGCCAGAGTAGGCGACGAGGTCGGAGGATCGCACCGCATCGCCGATGAACCGCCGATGCACTGGCGACCACGGGACGGAGAACATCGAACTCCAGATCGCGTTGCATCGCCGATGCACTGGAGATGCGGCCTGATCATCCGACTCCGTCTAGCCTGGCCCCATGTGGACTGAAACGGAGTATCTGCAGAGAAACTGCCGAAGCATACTGCAGTACGCACTTCCTGGCCAACAAGTCGGTGCGACCGGCCAGATGAATGACGAATACCTCAGGACGAACACTACTGCACTTGCACCAAATGCATTGTACGGTCAAGATTGTTTGCTTACCGTGCCGCGGCGGCGGCCCCGGGCGACACGCTATGCCGTGCAAGCCGATGGCGCGTCGCGAAAAAGCTTGGGGAGTTGACGCTTGGGGACCAGGGCGTAGTTAGCGTGTCGCGCCGATGCGTGGTGGGCCAGAACCAGCGACGCGTTACGCTAAACCAAATATCCTGACTGTATGTATACCATGGACACCGCACGGACCGCGAATATCGAATATCGAATATTCGCGTACGCATGCGCTCATCTGTAAGCCCCCCGGAACTTTAGCCGCAGAGGAACAGGATCGCAAGGGTGCACGCAACGATGAGCACTGGATCAGTCCCAGGCAGCACGTGGATCTCAACTTGCTCCATGCCGCCAGGATGACTGGCCTTGCACGATACGCTTGCCTTAGGACGGCCGTCGCGCGAAGAAACTTGAAGGTCAACGTCCGCATCGTTGCCCTCAATGACGAGCTCTGGCTGCTCGTGGGAGTGCACGACAAACTCCCCAGAGTTCTGCAGAACCAGGCTTCCTAAGAGCATGTTATCTGCCCCACGTATCTGGAAGCTGTTAAGGATGGCTTGCGGCCCTGAAGGTAACGGTTCCACACTCGCGCACGGTGTCGTACCATCCTCACCCTGAAAGACCTGGGCTTTCCGGGAGCCGTCTGAGTTCTTAGGCACAGCTCCTCTCAGCACCAAGCTACTGCAGGTATCCTTGATTGTGAAGCTGCCTTTCCCCGTCAAGTTCACGCCCACCATGACATCAACTGGCACTGTGAAGAGGCAACCTTCCGTCTTCTTCCTCACGGGCTCCTGCGAGCTTGGGGAGTGGTCTGCGCACGCGCTGACACAGCTGTGCAGCGTCCCGTGTTGCCCGCCGTTGGCACTCCCCGTGCCCAGAGGGTGGGCAACGCTGCTGCCGTTGCTCTTGATCTTCATAGACATTGCCCTGCCTGCTGGCGGCCTTCGTGCGCTCGACTGCACCGACGCCGTCGAGCCAGGAGACCGGGAGCTGGCTGGAACTGGCTGTCCCTGCCGCGGCCAGTCAGAGCTGAGGCTGGTGGCGGAAACCGTGCGCGCTCCGCCCTTCTTTAGAAGAAGAAGAAACGGCATATACATAAACTTTTGACGCTCCGCGCGGACTTCTTGGATCTGCGCTGGACCCCCCCTCCCTGGCGCGCGGAGCGCGCCAGGGCGGCGCTGGAGGCGCCGCCGGGGGGGTCCCAGCGCGGATCCAAGAAATCCGCGCGGAGCGCCAAAAGTTTATGTTTATGTTGTTTTTTTCTTCTTCGATTCTTGGGAGCGCCGGCGGGAGTCGGCAAGCTCGTGGCACTTCGCTCGAAGATGCTGCTCGAGCAGAAGACGCAGCCCGCGACGAGGAGACACGCGGCGACCGCCAGGAGCAGAGCCCACACCGATGCGTTCGTGACTGTGCCGGTGTGGTGCGCCTGGGCCAGCAAAGAAATGATGTTGGAGCTCACGGGCGCTACCGGGTTGCCAAGTCGCCTTTCGGCCTCGGCCGCCTTATCAGCTGCAGTCCACGCGGCAACCTGCACGGCTTTCAGCGACGTGTCCAGGAAGGCTGCGGCTTGAAACAGGGATGTGTCCAAGCAGCTGGCGCCGTGCTGCCATGACTCCCAACATGAGCCAACGGAAGATATACAACTTTCACCGGCACCAATTACGACACATTCCTGCATGCTCGGAATGCTTTGATATGTCCTACGTGTAGTCGCACACTGATGTACGTAAAAGAGAAAGGAAATAAGACGTGCTTGCTTAGGTACTGTATGTACGTGGAGCCGATCTCAGCGGCGCCGCGATGTAAGTCAACATGACTTGAGCCACAACGGTTGTGGAAGGACCATCGGAACAATCACGATTCTCGTAATGCTTTCGTCCTCCTACCCCGCAGCGCAACATCTCAGCCCTCAGCTGCCACCCAAGCACCCTCGACCCGACGAGAATGAATGCCTTGCACTGAATGCAAACTTCGTGCTGGGGCTGGGGCTCTGAGGCACAGCATCCCCTGCTGTCAGACTTCCTCTCTCACCTTCTCCTCAGATCGTGCTGGATCGCTGGGTGAAAGAGGCCCAAACTTGGCCCTCAATTTGCCCGAACTCTGAACTCGAATCCGAAGCTCTACCCGGCCGAACGCGCTAGAAACGAAACGTGGCACGGCACTTAGCGCAGGGCCCTCCCAACGGGAAAGGCGCCGATACCGACCCCGAGAGCGAGAAGCGCGTGGCTCACGGCAGGACGCTGGCGAAACTTGCCCTCTCTCTCTCTCCTGCTCCCCTTCTTCTTCTTCTTCCTTCTCCTCCTCCTTGTGCGCACACAGAAAGAAGCACGAGGTTTGGCATGCAGTGTTTTTTGTTAATTGTGTGTTGGTTCCTTAATTTTCCCCTCAATTGTTGCGTTCTTTTCCATTGTCCAGATGATGTCTTTCAAGAGTTCGACCAGGAGCCCTCTGCGAGCGAGAGGGCAGGCCCAGGGTGCGAGCATCGGACAGGAGACGTTGAGGCGTGTGTGGCGACGGGTGAGCAGCACGACTTGACATCGGGACTGGCGCCCGTTCCCACCTAGAGACCGGAAGGCGCTCGTGCGAGATCCACGTCCGACGACTTCGCGAAGGTGGGGACACACGGAACGTGCAACAGCCGAGTTTTTCCAGGAAGCCCTTACGCGGCGCTGCGGCGAGAGCACCACTCAGCCCCCGCTCGTGCGGCCACATCTCCCCATTCCTATGACTCCAGCGATACGAATCCTTGAAGCTTTTGTGAGTTTGTATGATGAGTGCGCGTTGCGGAGCGACGCTCTGAAAAGCAACCGCCCTCCATCTTTGAAGCTGTGGCAAGCGTTCAAAACACGTGTGCGCGGCGCTGAATCGAGAGCCACACTCTGAGAAGGACCTGTCCTCCAGCCTTGAAGCTGCTGCAAACTCTGAAGACGAGTGTGCGAGGCGCTGAGGCGAGAACCACATTTTGACATTGGCCCGCCTTTCCGCCGCGAAACTGGGGCACATTTTGTAAGCTCTGGTATCAGACATGGTGACAAAGACTCACGCGAAACGCCCGGCCCACCCCACCGTCACGTCTGGGCTTGCGGCAGCGAGGGGTTGTTACTAGAGACAAAAGATGGAGGAGGAGGAGGCGGGGCTAAGCGAGCCCCCCTCCCAAGAACGCCGCAGAACCCCGCTTCCAGCGGTGCCAGACCCAGCGCTGACTTCGGCTAATTAGGCTCGGGGGCGCGCAAACATACGATCCATGGATTTGGCGCGGTCGCCAAAACCATGGATCGGGGGAGGTGCCCTCCCCAATGTGCGGCCCGTGGCGTCTTGCTCGGCGGCGGGAATCCGCGACTTCCCATGGAAGCGGGACCCGTCGCTAATCCACGCCCCCCTGATCCATTTTTGCGATCGCCTGCTTGGCGGCCCAAGGGACTCCAGAATTCATGTCTCTCCCTCTCCCCCTCTCCTCCGCTGAGAGGCTCATCCCTGGGCAGCTCGCACAGGGACTGCGCGCAATGCACCCGGTGAGGGCACCGGTGCCCCAGGGAACACCCTCAGACACACACGCAGACGCGCACACTCGTTTGGCGCCACGGCCGCGCGCACGGCGGCGCGCCGGGGTCGGACCCTCGCGGCAGAACTGGACGCAAGCAAGAACACCAGCACCCTCACAACACACAGACACACACATACACACGCGCGCGCAAGAGCGCAAACGCAAACACAACCGTACAAACACCCAAGCAAACAGTCGCATGCGTAAAAACATGAACACACACACAGACAGGACACAAATAAACATGTACACATAGAACAAACACGGACAAGCACACAGCACGCACACAAAACAACACAACGACGCACAAACACGCACGAGCACACGGTCGTGCAGACACACACATACACACACAACACAGACAACCAAACACAAACAAAGCATATACACACGACATACACAACACACGAGCACACGAGTACACGAGTGCACACACACATATATATATATATACACACCCACACACAACAACACACGGCTACACACAGATACGCACACACACACACATCCACATACACATACAGGTGCATGCACACATACACACACATTCAGATGCATATACACATACACCTTCACATTCTCAGTCACGAACGCACGCACGCAGGCGCACGAGCACATGTACCATGCACAAACACAGGCACACACACAGCGGCACACACGCGTACACATCACACACAACACACAACCACACAGACAACACGCAACACACAGCACACACATACCAAACAACACACGAGAGACACAAACACACCACACAACACACAGACACACACACACACACATACACACACCACAGACACAGCACACAACCCACAAGACACAGAAGGCACACCAGGCACACAAACACACATAACACGCACATCACACATACACACGTCACACACGTGTAATGCTGGCGGCCCAGTGATTTCGGTCCCTATGACGTGGCCACAACATATGAGGCGGCGCAATCAATCACTACACGGAGAGACGCGCGCACCAACACACTCACACACACACGCACAAAAACACGCACTATCAAGTTCAGGGCTGGATCCACACGCGAAGCATTCGGCGGCCACGTGTTGGATACGCATGCGGAGGGCCTGAGTGCCCGTTCACGCGAGATCCAGGCGCTGGAAAATCATGCGGTCACACGTGTATCCAGGTCTCAGTCAAACAGGCCAAGTCATGTGTACAATAGGCACATCACATACGAGACCGGCCTGTCAGCAAGTGCCCCAATCATTCTGCTTTTTCTCCGATGGCCCCTGGGACCCACAGAAGCTCCAGGGCACCGTAGGACCTTCAAACATCGACGAAGAATGTGCCCCAATATTTCTGATGGCAAGATTCATTGTCGTCTGCGTCTAGTGCATTCCGCCTCGTGGTCCTCACGCCGAGCTCTCCTGCGCCGAATCCAGGAGCTCCCCAGCGTGCCGGTGCTCCCCACGCCCGAGCGGGCCCCTCTTTCCCTCGAAGTAGAGAAGCACTGCTTCCGAGGTCGCCCAAAATCCGCGCGAGGCGCCACTACCCTCGCTCCCTCGCTCCGCGGTCCTGGAGCAGGACGGCTCTCTGGCCCGGACCGCGAGGCGCCGACCGGCGCCAGCGCTGCGCCCCTGCGGCGACCTGGCCTCCGCAGCGACCCCCAAGCCGTTTGACCGCCCGCGACCGACACTGCGTGCCAGCTCGGCAAAGAAGTCGGTGCGGCCCTCGGTCAGCTCCTGGACGCCAGGGAGCGGCCGGCTCAGGCGCGCGACGCTGCCCTTGATGAAGCCGCTGGCGCCTCCGGCGCTCAGCGCGAGCGCGCGCGCGGCCGGGTGCGTGCCCGACTGCGGGTGCTGCCCGAGGCTCGAGCGCCGCGACGCGCGCGAGGGCCTGCTTCGAGGACGGCCCCCCCCCCGCTGGTCGACGGGACCCGGCGGCGGGTCTCTCTCGCGCTGTGAGCAGGCCAAGCGCCTGGCCCCGACCAGTCGGGGCCGGCCACGCGTCCCCCCACCCGGCGATTTTTGTCAACAGGATCAGGGCCCCATGGGAGGGGGATGCCTCGTCCTCCTTCTCCTTCTCCTTCTCCTCCTCCTCCTCCTTTTCCTTCTCCTCCTCCTCCTGCTTCTCCTGCTCCTCCTCCTCCTCCTCCTCCTCCTTCTCCTCCTGGAGCCAGCAGGGGGGGGCCTCTGCCCGCTTCGAGAGCGGAGGTGCGCCGCCGAGCACTACGCGCTCGGTGCCGGGGCAAAGAGGGCGTCACCCAGCACAGGTGCGATCTGCGGGGCGCGTCGCCGGAGACCCTGACAACCACAGGGACCCTAAACAGCCGAGGACGAGCGGGGGGGCGAGGGGGCGGAGGAAAGCGGGGCATCAGCCCACGCGGGGCGAGAGACTTGAAAGCTGTTTGGGGCACGACGCAACGAAAGCAAGGCGCCCCACTCACACACGTCGACTCTCCAGCTCGGAGTAGGCAGAACGACGATAGTCGTGGAATAAGGTTCCGATCCAATGGTCACGAGACATGGCTGCATATCGAATAAAACCGGAAGTAGAACCGTCAAAAAGGGCAATGCCAAGTACAATTGGTATTCATGGTGACTGTGATGATGGTTGTGGTGATGGCCCTTGGGCTCGGATGCAGTTGAGCTGGGGCGGCGCCGAGTCAGGCCCTTCGATGCCTTACGGGCTAACTAACAGTGTGCACGATCCTGCTTGCAGGTTGGCAAAAGCGTGCCAGAGGCTGCAATTGCATTGATGGCAATGGCCGTCCTTGCCCCGCCGCGGTTCGGGCATGGGGTCGCCGCGGTCGATCATCGCTCGCCGCATGCGCAAGAGTCCCGTCAGCCTGCTGGCTCAACGTCGCCCTCTGCCCATGACCACCGCCGTGCATTCTCGCACGAGCCCCACGCACAGTGCGCAGCCCTCTTCAGCCTACCGCGCCAGAAGAAGCTTTCGGCACGCTTCTGGAGGGACATAAAGAAACCGATACTGCGAATCGCCAACACGCAAGAGTGACCCTGGGCAGGAGTGACCTTCGGTGCGCGGCTTTCGGGGGCCGCGCCAGGGCTAGATTCAAGTACGCAGGCCAATGCTGGTGCCACCCTCGTGGGCCCGCACCAAAGGCCATTCCCGCGAAAAGTTACTCTTTCGCGTGGCCGAACTACTCTCTG